GGGGGGGGGGGGGGGGGGGGGGGGTTGTTGAATGAAAAGATTAAAAGCCTGCCATTAACAAATTGGTATGTTGGCTAGCCTTTGTCTGCACAGTCTCCTGAAGATTAAGGAGTCGCTACCTATTTAACCCCACTTCAGCTCCCACTTGCTTTGCCGATCTCAAAAGAACACTACCTCTCTCGCTCTCCCTGCCTTCCCACATTTACACTAAAAATGAGGAGTGGGATGAGTTCCAAAACCTTAACACTTTCGGTTTTGATAGCTTTTCTTGTTTGGTCTTCAAACTTTGATGGCTGCACTGCAAGGAGAGGAAAACACTGGAGACAGAGCAGGCAGACCTCGGCTTCTCTATCAAAGAAGAAAGGCAGTCATGGCGGTAGCAAGAGCCACCATGTCAGTGGCTCCAACCCTAAAGCTCCTCCGTCACACAATGCCTCCCCTTCGTCTCCAATTCCTCCTAAACCAAAAGAGGAGACCATTCCAACTCCACCCAAGAAAGGCTACAAGAGTAGCGATTCTGCCATATTCAACGTTCTAGATTTTGGTGCTAAAGGCAATGGAGAGTCTGATGACACCAAGGTACGTTCAATCACTCTTCTCCTATAGAAATACTTGGAGTTTGATATCTAACAGAATTTTGTCATTGCAAAAGGATTGGATAAATGGAATACCATCAAGGAATGATTTTGATTGGAAAATATTTGCACGATCCGTTCCAGGCATTTGAAGACGCTTGGGTAGCCGCTTGTAAGGTGGTGGGATCGACGGTCATGGTTCCGGCAGACTATGTGTTCTTCGTAGGACCCATTTCCTTCTCTGGCCCATATTGCCAACCAGATATTGTATTTCAGGTAAACATTATCGTACCCAGAAGCACGGTTCCCCCAAATTAAAGTATCCCTTTCAAGGGTAACCAGCCAGAACTAAACTACTCATAGTTAGGATGTTGACAACATTATATTAGCTCATTAGACTTGATTTGCAGCTAGATGGAGCCATTATGGCTCCCACTGATCACCGAACTTGGGGGAAAGGTCTCTTGCAATGGATCCAATTTACAAAGCTAATAGGGGTTACCATACGGGGAAGTGGCATAATCGACGGAAGAGGATCCGTCTGGTGGCAAGATTCCTCCTTTGATGAGCCTATAGACGACGAGATGAAACTCATTATCCCCATGAACAAGACCCGAGATGAAGCAAAACCAACGCCGGTAATGAACACTATCTATACTGATCTTTTCCTCCACAATATTCAGTTTTCTAGCTGCAAATAGAGAAGGAAAATGAACGTGATTCACTTAAAAATATGTGGCAGGTAGGAAGCAATCTAGAAGGCAAAATGCCAAGCATCAAGCCAACTGTAAGGGATCACTTACTGATAAACTTCTAAGATGATTTCATTGTGGCCCCATCATCCTCACCCTGTGGAGTTATATGAAATGTTATGTTACGCAGGCACTAAGGTTTTATGGAAGCTTCAATGTTACAGTCACGGGCATAACAATCCAAAACAGCCCCCAATGCCACCTCAAGTTTGACGACTGCGTGGGAGTCCTGGTGCATGATATCAGCGTCTCATCTCCTGGAAACAGTCCTAATACTGATGGAATTCACTTGCAAAACTCCAAAGACGTTCTAATCCACAGCACCAGTCTATCTTGTGGTAATTACGTCACTTGCAACCACTTGATCCTGTTGTTAAATATTATCTACTTAAATGGGCGGTGCTCAGTAAGGGCTAAGGGTGTGCATGTCTTGAGATAAACTGAGCACTCAACATTCAATCGTTACGACTATTTAAAAGGAGCATTTGATGGATAAAATACTAAATGTTTACTTAAAATATGAGAACCTTTCTTGTCAGTAGACATAAGAGTCTTTCACTACAGAAATTTGCAACCATTAGTTATAAAGGCCAAGTCGAAATACTCAACAATTTTGAAACATTGGTTTAATAGAAGAAGAAAAAAAAAACAATAATGTAGATTACGAGTAGGTAGAAGTTTGAAGTTGAAAATTGAAATAAACAGGTGACTGATGATCTTTATTCTGATCCTTTCAAGAGATGATTGTGTTTCTATTCAAACGGGATGCTCAAACATATACATACACAACGTGAACTGCGGGCCAGGACATGGAATCAGCATTGGGAGTCTAGGAAAGGACAATACAAAAGCTTGTGTTTCAAACATAACTGTCCGTGATGTCACAATGCATAGCACGATGAACGGTGTTAGAATCAAAACATGGCAGGTACTTGAGTTTAAAATGGAAAGCATGTTGTTCATACCAAATGAAAAAGCTCATTATTTTTGGGACAACCTTTCGTTTTTCTAAAATTGGGAAGCTCCATAAGTCATCTATAATGTTCAGAATTGAAGAGTATTGATAGAATGGCACATGATACCTTTACAGGGTGGGTCAGGCTCTGTTCAGAACGTTCTCTTCTCAAACATTCAAATGTCTGAAGTTCAATTACCAATTGTGATTGACCAATTTTATTGCGACAAAGCGAAATGCAGTAACCAGACTTCAGGCGTGGCTCTATCAGGAATCAATTATGAGAAAATCTGAGGGACTTACACAGTTAAGCCTGTACACTTCGCCTGTAGCGACAACCAACCTTGTAGGGATGTAACGCTGACAACCATAGAGCTAAAACCACTGCAAGAGCGGTATCATTTATATGATCCTTTCTGCTGGCAGACATTTGGAGAACTGAAAACTCCTACTTCACCTCCAATTGGATGCTTACAGATTGGGAAGCCGTCTAGCAACAGAGTTCAGTACGAAGAAAATGATTCCTGTTAAGCTTAGAGAGGAACATTAAAAAGTTTCAGAATCAAGGCATTACTGAACAGGGTTTCAGGAGGCCATGGATGTCACAAAGCGAAATGAGTTTCTCCCAATCCAAAGACTCTATGTTAAAGGTCTTCAGAGCCGTTACCCGCCATTCTCGGGTGCCAGCTGTCTCGGCCCCCGCTTATTTCACTCGGGCTTATACATTTCTCCCGCACTCGCACTCTCTTCTTCAGCACATTCTCACATTAGAATGAGAGCGCTCCATCAACGCCCTCTTCCCTTCCGCGTGTTCGTTGCCCAAACCGAACGCTAGATCGTTACAAGGCTCCATCAGCGGCCTCTTCCCTTTTGAGTGTTCGTTGCCCAAACCAAACGCTAGATTGTTACCAGGCAATCGGAGGAAGAGAGAGCAGAGTTGAAAGAAGTTTCTCGCCTCGTCTCGGTGATGAAAAATAGAGGTGAAGTACCTTCATTCTGCCTTTTAGTTTTATGCGTGGTTCGGTCGCTGTTCTGGGTTTGAAATTTTAAGGGTACAGTAATGACTCTGTTCTCTCGTCTTCTGATTGCCTTCAAATTTCGTTTCAGCCTTTTAGTTTATGCGTAGTTTGATCGCTGTTTTGGGTTTGAAATTTTAAGGGTACAGTGATGATTCTGCTCTCTCTTCCTCTGATTGCCTTTAAATGTCGTTCTCAGACTTTTAGTTTTACGGGTAGTTTGGTCGCCGGTCTGAGTTTGAAATTTTATGTGTACAGTGATGATTCTGCTCTCTCTTCCTCCGATTGCCTTCAAATTTCGTTTTCAGCCTTTTAGTTTTATGGGTAGTTGGGTCGTTGTTCTGGGTTTGAAATTTTGAGGGTACAGCCGGCTATTTAAATTTAGGGGTTCACAGGAGAACTTCATAGGTTATTCTTATTTAGAGGTTCAAAAATAATTAAGTGAACAAAAGAAAATGATCCAGTGGTCAAAAGAAGCTACAAAGGATATAAGAAGGCATTCCAACTGAGGCAAATATCCTGTAACGAAAATCGAACAAGTTTCCTTTCAGTATAGAACAAGTTTCTGGCACACTAAAATTTTTTTAGCTTGTTTTTGGTAGAACTTGAATTATATATTTACTATTTTATCAATGCCAAGGGAGTTTTGAGAGCTCCCTCCTCTCCTCAATGCTCAACCAAGCTACAATTCAGAAAAAACAAAAAGATACCCTCTTGCTTCTACAAAGCGACCTTAATATTACCCTCTAAAAAACTCCCACAAACAATCATAACCAACATCATGTATACACTTGGGTGATTTGACATCATGAACTACCATATGTCCGGTCTGGTTCTTGCAGGAATTACATTTTTGGCAATGTTGTGGTCCTAATAAGGTTAGATTCCTATGTTTAACTTTTATTATGTCTTTGCTTTCCTTTTTTTATGTTCTTTGTGCTTCCTATATCATGTTTTCATTTCTAAGAGTAAATGATTAAATAAAGGATTGTAATGAATGTTAAATTTGGAAGAGGTTCATGAGTAAGAAATTAAATTACATCTTTTGTTTTCTGAGCTTTTTAGGTAGCTATGAATAGATCTTTTTTTTTAAAAAAAAAAATGAAAGTGAAGCTTTCATTGAGATCAAATAAAAGAATACAAGAGGAACACTAGAAAACCATCCCAAGAGGAACCCAATTGACCCATAAAGGTGCTCAAATCAAGCAAAATAAGACCTAAAGGATAGTTTAAAATAAACAGGTGTCATATCCCCAAAAGCCGAATTGACCTAAAAAGATACTCCAATCAAACAAAATAAGATTTAATTACAAAAAATTGTACACACTCTCCCACACCATACAGAGGTGTGATCTATAAGGT